GCTCGCCGCAGACCCGCGCACGCACAGGGGCAGCCGGGCGCTTGAGCCATGATTGCCGCGGCTTTCCTGGTCCTGCTGAGACCCTACAGCATCCAGTGCGCCCTCTTCTTGCTCCTGCTGCTGCTGGGGACCATCGCTACGATTTTATTCTTCTGCTGCTGGCACCGCAGGCTCCAGAAGGGGAGGCATCCCATCAAATCCGTCTTTTCAGGTCGCTCAAGGAGCCGAGGTAAGAGATGCTGCTCGTCGCCGAGGGCGGAGGGGGGGTGGCCCGGGCCCATCCCGCGGTTTCTGCCGGCGGAGGCCCGCTCTGCCTCAGTTTAGCCGGGCAAAGGCTTTAAAGAAAATTCAAGCCGAGCCCAGGACTGCGGCAGCCTTGTCTCCACCCATCCCTTAGCGAAGCCTCGGCCCGCCGGAGGGAAGTGAGGGGCCGGGAAACCCCCCAGACCTCCCCGGTCTCTCAAGTGCAGCAGAACTTTATGCTCAACTTCTTCCCGGTGAATTAAATATAAATGCCGGGCGGAGCTGCCAGCTGCGCCGGGAGAGCCAGACCCCATCCAGGAATATGCGCTGAAGGGCGAGCAATTACATAAAACGGTTAGCCGGAGCGAAATCTGAGGTGGAGATGGATGCAGCCTGTGTGTCTTTCTGCTTCCCTTCCAGATGCTGTCATGAGAACTCATCACTTTCGCTCTGAGGTAATTTATTTAGCACGCAATTTCAAGGTCAGAAGTTGTTCTATTTACCTGAGTACATATCGTTGTGGTCTTTTGTTAATGAAATCACGTAGCAAACTTTTCATTTTGCATGAAAGACATAATGTCCTCTTTCATTTCTTGTTTTTTCCACACAAAACGTCAGCTCTTCGTTCGTATTCTCCTAACCGGCCTGCTGATTTGTGTAATTTCCAAAGCAATTGGTTACTTCGAGAAAAGCTGTGCTTGCTGTACGTGCCAGACCTCCCTCTGTCCAAAAAGCAATCCCGAGCCCAGTTATTGACCGCACTGTAAATACGTGCAGAGCTGGTAGGTTTTGCGACTGCAGAGCTTCCGCTCGCTTGCTTTGCCGCCAGCCCTCACCTGCGCCTTGCTCCTTGTCAGGGAAGTTGCCCGCTTGGCTTGGACCCTGCCGCGGGAGATCCCAGAAGGATCCGGACTACAAGCCTGCTTGGCAGGCGCCTCATTTCATGACTCTCTATTCATAGGTCAGGGGAATCAAAACTTTCACATGCCAGTGCTAAAAGTATAACAGAAAAGCAAGTCACTTCCTAGGGATTCTGAATGAGGAGCATAATTGCTGGGAAAATATGGAAAATAATACTTGTTTTAGCATCCACTTTGTTTCCATGCTGCCCTGTCCAGGTATTTCTCTTGCCTGGTTTCCTGCTATTGATTTAAGGCATATCCTCATGCCACTGCCTGCTACTCTGGAAGAGAGGTACCCTCTGAGAGAGGGTTTTGTGCTAAAATGATCTAAAGCCCTGAGAGAGGGTTTTGTGCTAAAATGATCTTTTGTTTTAAATTATTTGCATTTTTCCTTACCCGGTTGTGGGTCAGAAAATTACCCAGTTATGAGTAATGTTTTCAAAAGTGTGCATGGGATACATTTTTGCAATGTGGCTTGTATTGGCAATTAGTTTTAAACTCCTAACTATTTTGAAATTTGTACCCACAATCACAAAAAGGAGATGACATCGGGAGTGTCCTATCTTTAAACCTTGAACAGTCTGGTTTTGTTTTTGACCGAACAGTGCTGCAGTAAAGTGAACAAACAAACGTGTCCCTCCAGATGTCAAAAGATTTTTTCATGATTTAGTTCTTCCAACATGAAATACTTGGTTTCCATGTAAAATTCTCTCACTCTTGAGCCTAGATAAGGATGAAATTTAATGTGTTACGCCCTTTTGAAATACACGTCGTCCTGTACGGTGACTCTTAAAAGGGAAGTTTGCAAAGTCAGTAATTTATTTTTATTAATCCAGCATGTGGTTATTTGCATATCACCCAGTTAGAACTAGACACATTTAAAATATTTCCTAGAAGTTTCCATTTACTGAAACGTGCTAGAATAAACCAAT